TTTTTTTTTTTTTTTTTGTTTTTTCTTTATTTCATTTTCTACCTCTGCTACAGAGTATCTTGTGTAATATTTCTTTAATGAATAAAATGAAAGTTTTAATCTTAATGTGATTCGGAGAAAGAAAGTGCCGCCAAGTGATAACTCATTAACAAATGCGATGTGCGATAAATATGTTGTTCGAATTTACTTACGTCGCACGTTAAACGGATATCAAAAAGAATTTGGCATTTGTATATTTAAAGAGATGGAAGTAATGCTTCTTCAAGTTCCTAGCTATTACTAATATGTATCTTGATAATTACTGAAAAATAATTTAAAACTGTTACTAATTCACAACAATGGTTTAATATAAATTGTGACGTAAGTTTAGCAAAACTTATTAGGTAAAAGAATATTCTACGTTTTGAATCTTGGAAAACTCTATTTTCTAAAGTTCACTTGTCAGAAACACCGTACACAGTGATGCAAATAATTCTGTTCAGATTATCGTCAGTGTGTAAATATCTAAGTCAATAAAAAGAAATGCAGTTTAGAATACCATTAAAAGTATGACAGACACGTATTAACAGACAATGAGGATATGTATTTTACCGACGGATATGTATTACGAAGGCTTTATAACTGTTTCAAATGTAAATACAGTCACTCAGAAATTGTAATTGATTTCCATTAATTTTCAATAAAAGAAATCACAATTAAAAGAACGCTTAATTATGTAGAAAGTTATGTAATAAAAAAATATAAATTTAGATTATATAAAGCATAAGATGTCTTTTTTTATTGTATTATTTTATGTTTACTATTTATTAAAGTACATTTCACGGAGTATCTGTAAAATATTAGTATAACAAATATTTATTTATATGACTACAGGCATTTCAAAAGAAAAGTTTACAAAACTGACAAATTGTTGTACTTGTAAAACCTGTTAAAATAATCTTTTATTTTAATTATAACATAGATACGAAAATAAATTGATTTATTCAAGTAATTAGGAATTCAAGTATGAAATATAATTTACATTTACGTGCAAATATGTTTCAATTCGTTTGATTGAATGAAAAGTACGTAACGAAAAAAGAAAAACAAATTTGGATATTTTGAGCGTATTAGTTAGTGGCCACTTGTCAGTTTTTTTTTCTGATTTTTGAAGAGAAGAGGCTTAAATTAGTATTATTGACTGAAACTATGACTTTCACATTCGCTATGACTATTATATGAAACAGAAAAAAAGCTAAACATGTATATGCAAAAAAATGTGTATATATATATGTATATGTATGAAAATAATTCTAGTAATAAATTAATGTTGACCATCACGGATTTTCCATATAAGAAAAAAAAAAAGGCTTAGGCATCCTGTTACGGTGGAAATGCTATATTTTGTTATTTATAAATTACACTTAGTCATATCATGACTTCAAAGATTCTATTGCCATTAAAAAGACTATACCACGGACTGGTGTCTACTTTTTTCTAATTTCAAAAAGACAGGAAGTGAACAAAGAAATTCATAAGCGAAAAGTATTCAGTGAAAAAGTTGTGTACAATATATAAAATAATATATTTATTGTTTATTTTATGATGTGCCACATTTTAATTTTTGTACTTTCGTAAAGAAACTTATTGCCAGAAAGAGAGAAAAAAAAAAGAATGTAATTGCGATTATTATTATCTTGTATTTAAGTCGTCTTGATTTTAAGGGAATGCAAAGATGTAAATATTTTATTTAATAAATTAAATACAAATTCGATATGTTACGTTTGCGTCGCTTTAAAATTTGCATGAGTGTGTTGTAAACTAATACCTACGATTTCTTACGTACATGATTTTCAAGTGCATGTACATAATAAACGCTAAAAAAAAAGAGTATTACAAAAAATTGTGTGTCACTGGAAGATATGCAAATACAAACTGACAAATAAAATATTGAAGGAATTTCTTGAATTATTTTAATAATTGCTTTATGTTATTCCAAGAGATATAAAATAAAAAAAAAAGAAGAAAAAGAAATTGTGGGCCCAGTCCAAAAATCGGAAGTTAATTATTTTTAGTATTTTAGATTAGAGCATTTATTTGTTAACATGTTAACATGCGTGTATTATACTTTATCACACTATCATCTGTACATATAGATCATAAGAACTAGACATACTAGACATTTCAAATAAATTCATGATGTAATTAACGTGTTGGTTATTTTATGCTGAACTTAAATAGATTGTATCAACTAAAACCGGCATTTACGTTCATTGATATGACACGAGTTTATCAATAAAAGTAAAACTTAAGAAAAAAATATAAATGTTGAAATATTTCAAGTATAAATAATATAATATTATTTTTGTTGATGTTACACTTAATAAAATGACCATATATTACAGAGAGAAGCGTAATACAAAAGACGCATTTCGTTCAAATAAATTTTTCCCTTTTTTGGAATTGTAAGTTTATATTTCGATGCAATAAATCTTTTATGCAAGCACGAGTAAAATATTCATACATTGAACTTTAGTGTACTTACATTCACGAGTGATTGTCCAATCATCGGGATTTTGTTTTTCAAATGTCGCAGCACGTTGAGCGGTACTCAGCTGTACCGGAAGGACGTCATAAGCGTTTGAACAGCCCAGTGCTGGCATCTGTGGCGAGTGGCGACGAAGTTGCACGAGGCTGGCCGAAGCGGTCAGTCGCGGTCGCCATTTTGTCGGGTAGTCATCGGGTACGTCGTGTTTCTTTCGGGTTGCTACACTTTTTGGAACAAGCGCCGCCGAAAAATTTGGGGCCTGGCACGTTCGTTCGTTCCCCCAAATGGCTTGTCTGAACACCCTCAAGCAGGAGATAAAAACTCTTGAGTCCGTCTTCCCAAAGAGCCATGAGAGATTTCAGATAATGTCTGCGAGTGTGGACGAACTCAGCTGCAGGTTCGTCGGTAAAAATGGGAAGAAATACGAAATACACGCCAATATTACAGTAAGTGTACCAAGCATGGATACGATTTGTGACGTCGGGACCGATTCGGAATTATCGTTGGCATCCTCGTTTCTACCCACGGCCACCGTGTGCGGTTTCGTTGCTGTCTGGCGAGCGATCGGGGACAAAGAAACAATAACACTCGTGTTGTTATTTGGGGGGGCTTTTGACAAGAGCCATGCCCGGGAACACTGTATCGTGTACCGTGCTCCTCGTACACGCATTTCCCTCTCGCGTAGTTTTCTCGTTGCCCTGTGCGTTTTGTTGTAGTTACGATCGATTCTTTCTCGCCTCAATCAGCCAGTTTCCGTGGAGATTTTCAGACGAATTAATATTGCGCTAGAGGTCAATGTATGTCACAAATAGAGGGTAAGCCCCTCGGTAATGGTATCTGTTCTCCTCGCCTGTCCATTCGTGTGTGTTTGCAACCAAGAAAAAAAAAAAGAAAAGAAGAAAGAGAAAAGGAAAAGAGGAAATTATTACGCCTTTTTAAAATCGGCATCGTCACGGTTTATTATTACTTACTAATTTCGTGTACACTAGATAATATTTATAGATAAATTAGATAACAATGAGCATATCCACTTGCTCTTCTCTTCACCATTTATCATTGTCGTGCTCTCTTCTTTATTGCCAGATTATCCCCCAATTCGACAATCGTATAAACATTGTCAATACATACGAACGCCGAAAATAAATAATTGCTCATCACGCTGTGACTGTCTCTGAATCCCGGTTTCATTGATTGAACCCGACGAACGATTTTAAATCGGCGGGTTCACGCTGAAAAGTTTGTTATCACACTGTGTGTAAACAATGGACGTGTGCAATCACGTGTGTGTTAAAGAGAGAGAGAAAAGAAGAAAGGAAGAAAGGAAAAGATTCGCGCCCTGCGTGTTTCCTTTTGTTGCGGATGCAAATGCGTAACGAGATTCGCGATAGTCTCCTTTTCGTCGAGAGTCGAAGGGCGAATAAAATTATCGCGATGGTTGAACCATTT